CAGAGATCAGTGACTGGTGCAAGTGTTTGTTGAGGTGCAGTGGTTTTCGACAATGGTGTCGTCATGAGTGGCTTTCTAGTGGTAGTCGTTGTGGATTTTGTGGTTGATTCACTCTGTTCTGATGTGAGATCAGTGACTGGTGCAAGTGTTTGTTGAGGTGCAGTGGTTTTCGACAATGGTGTCGTCATGAGTGGCTTTCTAGTGGTAGTCGTTGTGGATTTTGTGGTTGATTCACTCTGTTCTGATGTGAGATCAGTGACTGGTGCAAGTGTTTGTTGAGGTGCAGTGGTTTTCGACAATGGTGTCGTCATGAGTGGCTTTCTAGTGGTAGTCGTTGTGGATTTTGTGGTTGATTCACTCTGTTCTGATGTGAGATCAGTGACTGGTGCAAGTGTTTGTTGAGGTGCAGTGGTTTTCGACAATGGTGTCGTCATGAGTGGCTTTCTAGTGGTAGTCGTTGTGGATTTTGTGGTTGATTCACTCTGTTCTGATGTGAGATCAGTGACTGGTGCAAGTGTTTGTTGAGGTGCAGTGGTTTTCGACAATGGTGTCGTCATGAGTGGCTTTCTAGTGGTAGTCGTTGTGGATTTTGTGGTTGATTCACTCTGTTCTGATGTGAGATCAGTGACTGGTGCAAGTGTTTGTTGAGGTGCAGTGGTTTTCGACAATGGTGTCGTCATGAGTGGCTTTCTAGTGGTAGTCGTTGTGGATTTTGTGGTTGATTCACTCTGTTCTGATGTGAGATCAGTGACTGGTGCAAGTGTTTGTTGAGGTGCAGTGGTTTTCGACAATGGTGTCGTCATGAGTGGCTTTCTAGTGGTAGTCGTTGTGGATTTTGTGGTTGATTCACTCTGTTCTGATGTGAGATCAGTGACTGGTGCAAGTGTTTGTTGAGGTGCAGTGGTTTTCGACAATGGTGTCGTCATGAGTGGCTTTCTAGTGGTAGTCGTTGTGGATTTTGTGGTTGATTCACTCTGTTCTGATGTGAGATCAGTGACTGGTGCAAGTGTTTGTTGAGGTGCAGTGGTTTTCGACAATGGTGTCGTCATGAGTGGCTTTCTAGTGGTAGTCGTTGTGGATTTTGTGGTTGATTCACTCTGTTCTGATGTGAGATCAGTGACTGGTGCAAGTGTTTGTTGAGGTGCAGTGGTTTTCGACAATGGTGTCGTCATGAGTGGCTTTCTAGTGGTAGTCGTTGTGGATTTTGTGGTTGATTCACTCTGTTCTGATGTGAGATCAGTGACTGGTGCAAGTGTTTGTTGAGGTGCAGTGGTTTTCGACAATGGTGTCGTCATGAGTGGCTTTCTAGTGGTAGTCGTTGTGGATTTTGTGGTTGATTCACTCTGTTCTGATGTGAGATCAGTGACTGGTGCAAGTGTTTGTTGAGGTGCAGTGGTTTTCGACAATGGTGTCGTCATGAGTGGCTTTCTAGTGGTAGTCGTTGTGGATTTTGTGGTTGATTCACTCTGTTCTGATGTGAGATCAGTGACTGGTGCAAGTGTTTGTTGAGGTGCAGTGGTTTTCGACAATGGTGTCGTCATGAGTGGCTTTCTAGTGGTAGTCGTTGTGGATTTTGTGGTTGATTCACTCTGTTCTGATGTGAGATCAGTGACTGGTGCAAGTGTTTGTTGAGGTGCAGTGGTTTTCGACAATGGTGTCGTCATGAGTGGCTTTCTAGTGGTAGTCGTTGTGGATTTTGTGGTTGATTCACTCTGTTCTGATGTGAGATCAGTGACTGGTGCAAGTGTTTGTTGAGGTGCAGTGGTTTTCGACAATGGTGTCGTCATGAGTGGCTTTCTAGTGGTAGTCGTTGTGGATTTTGTGGTTGATTCACTCTGTTCTGATGTGAGATCAGTGACTGGTGCAAGTGTTTGTTGAGGTGCAGTGGTTTTCGACAATGGTGTCGTCATGAGTGGCTTTCTAGTGGTAGTCGTTGTGGATTTTGTGGTTGATTCACTCTGTTCTGATGTGAGATCAGTGACTGGTGCAAGTGTTTGTTGAGGTGCAGTGGTTTTCGACAATGGTGTCGTCATGAGTGGCTTTCTAGTGGTAGTCGTTGTGGATTTTGTGGTTGATTCACTCTGTTCTGATGTGAGATCAGTGACTGGTGCAAGTGTTTGTTGAGGTGCAGTGGTTTTCGACAATGGTGTCGTCATGAGTGGCTTTCTAGTGGTAGTCGTTGTGGATTTTGTGGTTGATTCACTCTGTTCTGATGTGAGATCAGTGACTGGTGCAAGTGTTTGTTGAGGTGCAGTGGTTTTCGACAATGGTGTCGTCATGAGTGGCTTTCTAGTGGTAGTCGTTGTGGATTTTGTGGTTGATTCACTCTGTTCTGATGTGAGATCAGTGACTGGTGCAAGTGTTTGTTGAGGTGCAGTGGTTTTCGACAATGGTGTCGTCATGAGTGGCTTTCTAGTGGTAGTCGTTGTGGATTTTGTGGTTGATTCACTCTGTTCTGATGTGAGATCAGTGACTGGTGCAAGTGTTTGTTGAGGTGCAGTGGTTTTCGACAATGGTGTCGTCATGAGTGGCTTTCTAGTGGTAGTCGTTGTGGATTTTGTGGTTGATTCACTCTGTTCTGATGTGAGATCAGTGACTGGTGCAAGTGTTTGTTGAGGTGCAGTGGTTTTCGACAATGGTGTCGTCATGAGTGGCTTTCTAGTGGTAGTCGTTGTGGATTTTGTGGTTGATTCACTCTGTTCTGATGTGAGATCAGTGACTGGTGCAAGTGTTTGTTGAGGTGCAGTGGTTTTCGACAATGGTGTCGTCATGAGTGGCTTTCTAGTGGTAGTCGTTGTGGATTTTGTGGTTGATTCACTCTGTTCTGATGTGAGATCAGTGACTGGTGCAAGTGTTTGTTGAGGTGCAGTGGTTTTCGACAATGGTGTCGTCATGAGTGGCTTTCTAGTGGTAGTCGTTGTGGATTTTGTGGTTGATTCACTCTGTTCTGATGTGAGATCAGTGACTGGTGCAAGTGTTTGTTGAGGTGCAGTGGTTTTCGACAATGGTGTCGTCATGAGTGGCTTTCTAGTGGTAGTCGTTGTGGATTTTGTGGTTGATTCACTCTGTTCTGATGTGAGATCAGTGACTGGTGCAAGTGTTTGTTGAGGTGCAGTGGTTTTCGACAATGGTGTCGTCATGAGTGGCTTTCTAGTGGTAGTCGTTGTGGATTTTGTGGTTGATTCACTCTGTTCTGATGTGAGATCAGTGACTGGTGCAAGTGTTTGTTGAGGTGCAGTGGTTTTCGACAATGGTGTCGTCATGAGTGGCTTTCTAGTGGTAGTCGTTGTGGATTTTGTGGTTGATTCACTCTGTTCTGATGTGAGATCAGTGACTGGTGCAAGTGTTTGTTGAGGTGCAGTGGTTTTCGACAATGGTGTCGTCATGAGTGGCTTTCTAGTGGTAGTCGTTGTGGATTTTGTGGTTGATTCACTCTGTTCTGATGTGAGATCAGTGACTGGTGCAAGTGTTTGTTGAGGTGCAGTGGTTTTCGACAATGGTGTCGTCATGAGTGGCTTTCTAGTGGTAGTCGTTGTGGATTTTGTGGTTGATTCACTCTGTTCTGATGTGAGATCAGTGACTGGTGCAAGTGTTTGTTGAGGTGCAGTGGTTTTCGACAATGGTGTCGTCATGAGTGGCTTTCTAGTGGTAGTCGTTGTGGATTTTGTGGTTGATTCACTCTGTTCTGATGTGAGATCAGTGACTGGTGCAAGTGTTTGTTGAGGTGCAGTGGTTTTCGACAATGGTGTCGTCATGAGTGGCTTTCTAGTGGTAGTCGTTGTGGATTTTGTGGTTGATTCACTCTGTTCTGATGTGAGATCAGTGACTGGTGCAAGTGTTTGTTGAGGTGCAGTGGTTTTCGACAATGGTGTCGTCATGAGTGGCTTTCTAGTGGTAGTCGTTGTGGATTTTGTGGTTGATTCACTCTGTTCTGATGTGAGATCAGTGACTGGTGCAAGTGTTTGTTGAGGTGCAGTGGTTTTCGACAATGGTGTCGTCATGAGTGGCTTTCTAGTGGTAGTCGTTGTGGATTTTGTGGTTGATTCACTCTGTTCTGATGTGAGATCAGTGACTGGTGCAAGTGTTTGTTGAGGTGCAGTGGTTTTCGACAATGGTGTCGTCATGAGTGGCTTTCTAGTGGTAGTCGTTGTGGATTTTGTGGTTGATTCACTCTGTTCTGATGTGAGATCAGTGACTGGTGCAAGTGTTTGTTGAGGTGCAGTGGTTTTCGACAATGGTGTCGTCATGAGTGGCTTTCTAGTGGTAGTCGTTGTGGATTTTGTGGTTGATTCACTCTGTTCTGATGTGAGATCAGTGACTGGTGCAAGTGTTTGTTGAGGTGCAGTGGTTTTCGACAATGGTGTCGTCATGAGTGGCTTTCTAGTGGTAGTCGTTGTGGATTTTGTGGTTGATTCACTCTGTTCTGATGTGAGATCAGTGACTGGTGCAAGTGTTTGTTGAGGTGCAGTGGTTTTCGACAATGGTGTCGTCATGAGTGGCTTTCTAGTGGTAGTCGTTGTGGATTTTGTGGTTGATTCACTCTGTTCTGATGTGAGATCAGTGACTGGTGCAAGTGTTTGTTGAGGTGCAGTGGTTTTCGACAATGGTGTCGTCATGAGTGGCTTTCTAGTGGTAGTCGTTGTGGATTTTGTGGTTGATTCACTCTGTTCTGATGTGAGATCAGTGACTGGTGCAAGTGTTTGTTGAGGTGCAGTGGTTTTCGACAATGGTGTCGTCATGAGTGGCTTTCTAGTGGTAGTCGTTGTGGATTTTGTGGTTGATTCACTCTGTTCTGATGTGAGATCAGTGACTGGTGCAAGTGTTTGTTGAGGTGCAGTGGTTTTCGACAATGGTGTCGTCATGAGTGGCTTTCTAGTGGTAGTCGTTGTGGATTTTGTGGTTGATTCACTCTGTTCTGATGTGAGATCAGTGACTGGTGCAAGTGTTTGTTGAGGTGCAGTGGTTTTCGACAATGGTGTCGTCATGAGTGGCTTTCTAGTGGTAGTCGTTGTGGATTTTGTGGTTGATTCACTCTGTTCTGATGTGAGATCAGTGACTGGTGCAAGTGTTTGTTGAGGTGCAGTGGTTTTCGACAATGGTGTCGTCATGAGTGGCTTTCTAGTGGTAGTCGTTGTGGATTTTGTGGTTGATTCACTCTGTTCTGATGTGAGATCAGTGACTGGTGCAAGTGTTTGTTGAGGTGCAGTGGTTTTCGACAATGGTGTCGTCATGAGTGGCTCTCTATTGGTAGTCTTTTTCGATTTTGTTGTGTATACTATTTGTTCTGATATATTGTCAGTGACTGCTGTAGCAGTTTGTTTTTCTTCCATGTCTGTCTTTATCGTTGTTTTTACATGTTTCTTGTGTGTTTTTCCAGGTTTTTTATCTAATGGTATATGTTCTTGTTCTTGGTGTACTTTGATTTCATCTTTTCCATCATTGTATATTGTCTGTATTGATTGTGTTTGTCTATGTATATAATTTGTATCGTTAAGATCGCCAGAATGTTGTTGTTGCACCACAATTCTCTTTTTTCCATCATCACTTTGTTGTATGAGAATCTGTGTTTGTTGTGATCTACTTTTCCCATTTCCATTGTTAATTGTTATCTGATTTTGATATTGATTTTGGCCAGTTGATTTAGAATTGGTTGTGGTTTGTTTGCCATCAACACTATTCGTTGCATTTATTGATTTATGATTACTGAGCTTATCATTCATATTAGGTTTAACGGATTCTGTTTCTATTTGTCCATTCACAGCATCTTCATCATTGGTTGATTGATTAGTGTTGTTATCATCGATTACATTGGTTTCATTCAATGATTTCATCATGTTTAAGATTGGATGATTTTTATTGACATGATTGTTGAATTCATTCAAATGTCCATTTAATTGATTTAATTGTATCATCATCAAATAGATGTATAATTTCAAATAAGTCATTGTCATCATGTATATCATGGTTTTGTATGTTTTTTTCTGTTGGATTTACATATTCATTAGAGAGAGATGCATTGAAATATTGACAATTGACAATTGAATATTGAATGGTTTACTTGAATGATATGTGATTGACATTAGAATCAGTGATATTTATAGACTTTTTTTTGTTTCTTGTTTTTTGTCTGTTTCTTATTCGTCAATGTTCAAAGTTCATGCAGAGAATAATCATACAAATTATTACTCATATACAAATTAAAATGTAGTTTTTACTTTATTCATCTCGATAAGATAATCTTCTTTGATTTGTTTAAATGTATATATATATATATATATATATATGTTCAATGTGTGCGACCAATCGATTAACGCCATAATCTCTTACTCTTTTTTTTTAAAAAAAATAAAACAGATATGATTAGTGTTTAAGTGAAAAGATTAATTAACATGTTATCTATCCTTTTTGACACTTTATTTTTCGTTTGATCATCATTGCATCATTGCATTTTCTTAATTCATTGACAGTGTGTCTTTTTGTCAATTTCGTGTTTTCATTTACTTTGACCTTAGGTTAAATCAGCTTAATTAAAATCAGTACGTAAATTGAATGGTTTAATCACATGTTAAATATATTTGAAATAATTTGTATATGTAATAACGTGAACATCGGCTTTAAGTGTTTGCAACCAAAACTCGCAAAGTATTGACTTACTGTACACTTTTGCTTCCAATAATGTATTTCCTTGAAATTGCGAATAGCCGTTTGGTTGTGGTATGAGACCACTTAAGAATGCACATCCTTGAAAACGCACTAATCAATTGAACCTAGATCTATCAGTCTCGCTTGCCGACGCTTAACCTCTACGTTACTTATCTAGGATCCAGTGGTGTACAAGTCTAACTTCAATCGCCTTATGAATGTAAGTGATTGTCTTTGATTATTTTCGGTGGGTATTTTCTTTACACTTGACAAAGTTTTGCTCTATTTTTTACGTGTATTCAACACGTTTCTTGCAGGCTTCCCTAATTATTAAATATGCATATATGCACCAAAGGAGAGGCAAAATTATTTTCGAATAAATGAGTAGTAGTAGTAGTAGTAGTAGTAGCAGTAGTAGTAGTAGTATTAGTAGTATTGGTAGTAGTATTAGTAGTAGTAGTAGTAGTAGTAGTAGTAGTAGTAGTAGTAGTAGTAGTAGTAGTAGTAGTAGTAGTAGTAGCAGTTGTAGTAGTAGTAGTAGTAGTAGTAGTAGTAGTAGTAGTAGCAGTAGTAGTAATAGTAGTAGTAGTAGTAGCAGTAGTAGTAGTAGTAGTAGTAGTAGTAGTAGTAGTAGTAGTAGTAGTAGTAGTAGTAGTAGTAGTCGTAATAGACGTAACAAAAAAACAGAATTATGCGAACAGTAAACAATTTATGGCTGATCACAATATTGTGATGAATTTGACAGTTGAAAATTTTACATAAACCTGTAACACTTGCAACAATGATTCTTGTTATACTCGTTTCGAAGTATGCTTAATTTATTACGGGTTCATCTTAGTCGAATAACGAGAACAAAACAATGAACCAGCATCCAGGTAGGCTACTGTGATCCCTTGACCAAGTTGTAGAAAGTGTATTCTACAAACATCCAGCAAGCACACAATGAATCCAAGCACTCAAATTGTGTTTATTTATACGCCATAGAGATGTCCTTTTGACAGTCACAAAAATAGCACACTCAAATGACACAGTAACCAATCACAGCCAAGGATTTTCCTGGTGGGAGATGTGATCTCAAGGTCAACTGATTGGTCCATGAAATAAATCCAAAATAAAGATATTTATCAAGCGAGTTCTAGGGATCCAGCATCCCCAACACTCCTCCTGTATTCCAAAGCTTGAGCTCCTGGTGTCGGGTTGCAGTTTGAATGTTGTTCGCCGCTGTCTGACAGGATACCCTCGTGAATGAAGATCAGCTTGTGACTGAGTTTCTTTTCGTGGGAGGTGCTGGTAAGTTGAAGGTATCAAGCAGGATGTCGAGAGGAAGATTTTCTGCGCTTGATGGACGATCTGGGGCTAGCCATTTGCGTATCTGGTTTTGATTGCGTGACCACCTTTCGCCTCCGACCTCTACTTCGTACATAACTTGCCCAACTCTTCTGATCACTCGCGCTTCTACCCAGGGACCATAATTTGCTCTATAGTCACGGGCGGACACAGGGTATCCTACTTCGTATTAAGACTGCCTTTGCTGCTTTGTCTCTACTGATGTTGGTGCATTAGTCGTATGCATCAGGCTGTGGATCGTTTTCAGACTTCTTCCCGTCAAGATTTATGCTTGGGACTTTTTCTCCGGTAACAACTCATTTTGTGATGTTCGATAGGCGTACAAGAAATTTTGTAATGCGTCGGCTGAAGGTATTGTAGCATTCGATCCCCGCCACCAATTGTAAAACATTGTTGTTCTTTTCGTTGTCATTGTTGTGCACACCTAACAAATTTTAATGCTTAGAATTACTCATATGATAGTTATTGTATTTCAAGATCCATGGAATCAGGATGAAAACTGAAGAAAATAAACCTCACTTAGACCTTCCCCTTGATTTATCCTGTATCAGATGAGCTTAAATATCTAATGGTTTTTTTCCTCTTAGATAGAACGATTATTAATGCAATCAATAATCCAATCATGATGTTGATGTTGTTCAACTTGTCAAAGATTTGATATTATAGAATATAATAAGTAAAACAAAAACAACCAAAGGAAAAGAAAAAATAACATGATATGAAATTTTTTTGCACAGAAACTTTTTTCTCCTAGTTTTAATGAGTACTCAAAATTGTAAAAAGTAGTATATATTGTAATATACAAACAATTGATCATATGTTTATAAAGGGAATAAAATCAATGAAAATTACAAATGAAGTATGATATTATGTAATTGAAGTGATTATTTGAAATTGTTACATAACTAAGATAAACATGAAGTATCATGATAAAGTTTTAGTTGTCACCGCTTCTATGGTTCCCGACCGTAGCCGCTACCTTGACGTGGTGGTCGGGCTTGACTATCGTGATGACCCAACCGAGCTATACTGATTGGAACATAAGGGCTTTTAAGAGCTGAGCTAATAATCAAAAAACCTCTCATAAAAAGGCCGTGCGTGACGGGCCTCAAGCAGTTGTCCCTTGGGTTCTGCGGTCACGCTCCTAGGTCGTTAAGACCAACACTAATCTATCTTCCTTTTCAGGTTCCTCCAGAAACACCCTTCTATGGTGTGGGCAGCCAGGAAGTGACAACCGCCCTCATACCTATAAGAGCACACAAGATCTAATTGGTCGAAATATAATCCTTCCTAAACCCCCTGATATCTCTGTTATCTCTATGACTAACTCTAGTCGCATTCCATCATCTCACTGCTCAGCTAATCCAAACGATGCGAGCTCACGAAATGTCATTTCTGGTCTCCTGGAACCCCGTTCTAGACTACATGTTGGGGCATTTAATGTACGTTTATTATGTCAAATAGGGCAAAAGGCTTCCTTAGCTAGAACTTTAGAATCACGTGCCATCGATGTATGATGCGTCTCGGAAACGTGCATAAAGGATCCTAGTAAAATTATAAATCTAATTTCACCTTGCTTAAACAAAGAAGCAGGCCGATTTACTCTTCGTGTATCCGGTAACCCTGATGCTGCCTCCCGGGGTCTCGCTGGCATAGGTATAGCATGGAGGGGCAGCGCAGAACTAGCGCTCCTAGACTGGATCCATGTAGATAGTCGTTTGTGCGCCGTCCGACTAAACCGGACAGTAAGGACTCGGAAAGATAGGGACACCCGTCATTGCCTCTTCGTCGTATCTGCCTATGCCCCCACTGATTGTAGTTCAGGCGAGGTGTAAGATAAGTTCTACAGAAAGCTTTCGGACCTCCTCCAAAACGTTAAGCGCTCTGATGTAGTAATAATGGCTGGTGACTTTAATGCTCAAGTAGGTAGACTGAGTGAAAATGAAAGACACCGAGGTGGATGTTGTGGTGTCGCGGCTCAGAGAACAGACAACGGCGACCGTCTGTTGCAAGTATGCTGAGATAACCGTCTATTTCTAGCAAACACCAACTTTACGCATAAGGAAAAGCACCTTCTGACCTGGCGACCCCCGAAGTCGTCCCAACGTTGGACCCAACAAGATCACATCGCCATCAGCCACCGATGGAGAAGTTCGATAGAGGACTGTCACTCGTTCTGAGGCACGTGTTTAGATCCAGATCATGCCCTAGTGCGAGCGCAAATTTGTTTGAGGCTTACTGGGCGTAGGAAAGACACCATAAGGAAGCCTCTTAGGGTTTTACTTAATGATAATAGGGCGAAGAATATATTTCAGGAACAACTAGAAAGACAGTTAGGCTACCATTTAGGAGATCAGCCACAGGATGCAGGTTGGAATGATATCAAGAAGGCTGTGGAAACAGCAGTGATATCTGCTAGTGAGGTTAAACATAAGTCTAGAATGAAGCCATGGATCTCTGGAGCATCCACCGATCTGATGAATGCCCGAAAACTCATCCCCCTTGGCTCTGAACAAGATGAAGAACGAAGTCAGCTTAGGCGCAGGCTGATAAAAGCCTACGCAACGACCGTGAACAGTGGTGGGTGGCGAAAGCAAAAGCGATGGAAAAGGCAGCGGCGATAGGGAACACTAGACAACTTTTCCGACTTATCAAGGAAACTGGTATTAGGAATCCTAGTGTAAGTGAGACTATGTCGGAAAAGAATGGGACTATTATTTATTCTCAATCCAGGAGACTGGATCGATGGGCAGAACACTTTAGGGATCAGTTCAACTGGCCTCGAGCCACTCTTCGGTTACTTACGATCTCCAGTCATCCTGAATGGCTAATCGACGTAAGTCCCCCTAGGCTTTATGAAGTTTAGAAAGCGTTAGTAAATCTGAAGCGAGGGCGAGCTGCAGGTCCTGATAGACTGACCCCTGAGATATATAAGGCTGATAGTCCAGTTTTATCAGTTAGGTTGACTGAGATCTTAGGTAGAATCTGGGAACTGGACGTAATCCCATCCGACTGGTCTCAATCACTGATTTTCACAATTTATAAGGGCAATGTCTTCTTGTGACAATCACAGGGGAATAAGTCTAACTAATATAGTTTCTAAATTGTTAGCCTCGGTTATACTTAGACGCCTTACTGGTGTTCGTGAAGAGCAGACTAGAGAAAACCAGGCTGGTTTTCGACCTGGACGTGGTTGTATATACCACATCTTCATACTACGACGGGTCCCGGAATACAGACACACATTTAGACGTCCAGGCGGCATTTAACTCAGTTGATCGTGAGGATCTGTGGCAGTGTTTGTCATTGAAAAGTGTGCCAATGAAGTATATTAACCTCATACAAGCTCTCCACTCGAACACCACTGGTCGAATGAGAGCTTATGGCGAACTGTCATAGGAATGGACTACTTCAATTGGTGTCCGTCAGGGATGTTCACTCTCTCCATTTTTGTTTAATTTTATCATAGACATGCTCCTAGATATAACCTTATCCTCGTCTGAATTTTCAGGAGTAGACCTATTACCAGGTGGCTTGCTTATCGACTTAGAATATGCCGATGACATAGTCCTACTTGGTGAAGACGCTGACAAAATGTAGGGTCTTCTGACCACCCTAAGCAACAATGCAAGCATGTTCGGGATGCGGTTCTCACCATCGAAATGCAAAATGTTGCTTCAAGATTGGGTTTCATTGGCACCTGAACTGGTGATAGGGAGTGTAGGCCGCTTCACTTATCCGGGGAGTCTCATCAGCGCTGATGGCCTGGTGACTGACGAAATCTCATCTCGGATACAGAAAGCTCGATTGGCTTTTGACAACCTGCGTCACTTATGGCGCAGGCGAGATATCCGTTTGCTGACTAAAGGACGAGTGTACTGCGCAATGGTTCGCTCCGTCTTACTTTATGGCTGTGAAACATGGCCAGTGAGAGTAGAAGATATTCGTCGGTTTCTGGTTTTCGATCATAGGTGTCTTCGAAGCATTGTTCGTATATCCTGGGACACCCGAGTGAGCAACGCTGTTATTAGGAAACGGGTGCTAGGTAAGAATGGCAGATCAATAGATGAAGTATTGAAACTTCGTCAGTTGAGGTGGTTGGGACGTGTGTTACATATGGCTAACCACCGACTGCCGTGATGAGCTATGTTTTGCAGTGTAGGAGTAGATTGGAAGAAAGCTAAGGGTGACCAAACCAAAACATGGCAGAAATCCATGAAGTCAATGACAAGTGGACTGAGTCATGTTGGTAGATGTAGGCTATCTGGTTGGGGTCCGCGAGACGATAGTCACCAATGGTTAGAGACCTTGAACGACATGGCTCAGAATCGTTTGCAATGATGCAAGTGCATCCACTCTTTGTGTTCTATGAAATTCTAAGCTTCTGCATTCCTCATAATATCTCCCTTTCTCCTCCTAAATTTATCTTACTGAATAATACTTCTCGAATCATATCTTCACTCCCTAATCTTCTCCATTACTGCTAATACTTCTATCATTGCTATCACTCATGACACGGTAGGATACTCTAATCCGAACATCCCAATAACCTAATAAGTAGAAGAAGAAGAAGTATTGATATGGTGTAGAAAGTATATTCTAAAAGTGGGTGGGAAATGTAATCTGAAGGTCAACTGATCAGTCCACGCGCTAAAACATGAAAATCCAAAAATTAGGACTTTAATCAAGTGAGTTCTGGGGATCTAACGACCGTAACACTTGATACGAAAATTAAATTAATTTATATATTGAAGCATATAATTTTCAAAGTAATTACTAACAAAATACTTTGGAATATTGCGGCTTAATTAGTATGAAAGTTAAATCATTTGTTTTTTAAATTACAGATTTTTATAGAGTATTTGGTTGCTTTGTTTAAATTGATAAAACTAAAAGTTAAAAACATCTCCAGTTTATATTGACAGTTCTCGATTAACTTATTTGATAATCGATATAAACATATATATGACGTAGTTTGGTGATTTTCGTAATTTGTGATCGATTCATCTCTAGTGCCTTTTCCTAATTTCCTCCTCGACTGGAAGTCCCTTTGCTCTCTAAAACTTTAGGTTGTTGTTGATGGCGTGCAAGTGAATGAAACCTGAGACAACTGCACGATACAACGAAGCAGCTCGCTGGAAATTATGGTAAACCAGAACAACCATTGAAAAGCGACGAAGGCAAAGCGACTACCGAGATTGAAGAACAGTGAGACCAGCTGGTAGAACAATTCGAAGAGCTCTCAAATAGACCAGCATCACTGCACACACCTAACATCGAAACAGCATCCTTCGACCGCCTAATTTATGCTGATAAACCAACAATCAAAGAGATCAACATGAACATCAGACAAATGAAAAGTGGCAAAGTAGCGAGACTCAAAACAGACATAATAGTAACTGTAATCATACTCCACATTCTCCTCAGCAGGATTTAGGTTGAAGAACCAGTAACAGCAGACCGGAAAGAAGGACACCTCATCAAGTTACCAAAGAAAGGAGATCTCAGCAAGCGTGATTAAATTATCAGTGCCAGGAAAAGTCATCATCAGAGTGTTGCCTGAGAGGATGAAAGATTCAGTAGATGCCCAACTTCTAGATCAGTAGGCTGAATTCCATACCAACTAAATTGTGACACTACGTATCATTGTGGAACACTCAACTGAATGCGATTCACCACTATACATCAATTTCGCTGACCAAGATTAAGCATTCGCCAGCCTGGACTAGATGACACTATGGAGGCTTCTTCGGCACTAAGACGTGCCTGAGAAGATAGTCAACATCATACAGAATTCTAATGATGCATTAAAGTGCAAAATCGTGCATGAAGGACAGCCCACGCAATCATTCCAAGAGAAGACCATATGTCAGACAACGCTGTCTATTCTAACCCTCTCTAATCCTGCTGGTTGACTGGATTATGAGAACGTCTACAACTAGGGGGATGCACGGAATACAGAGGACAGCTCAGATGCAGCTAAACGATTGGGTAAATAGTTTATGACGTGAAATATAAGCAAATAGGTCTTTATTTCACCTTAGTTTACTACAAACATTGAATAGCTTACACAGTAACTTTTTGATGTTAATATAGAATCTATCCGTAGAAAATTTGTTACCGTGCGATTAATTATTCCTAAACGCTTCGTTACATTCACAAAAAATTAGTATGTTAGACAGACAAATTCGCAGTCATTTGAAAATATCATTGATCATGTGAATTGAACCTGTAAGTGTACAAAGTGCAGCTCAAATATATGGAGTCCTGTAACAACAATAAACAACCGTTCAATTCCACCTGATTTCCAGTGAATAAAAAAGTAATGTTAAGCTGTGAATTAAGTGAAGATGATCTAAAGTATTGTGAAAGGTGTGTAAGTTGTCATCGCTTCCCGGGTGCTCATATCTCGGAAAGATTATTCTTCCTGAGATACCTGAAAATTGAACTGCATTAGTGGTGATCTTAGTAACTTGAAATGATTAAGGCAGAGATCGAGGGAAAACTATATGAGACTGTAATTTTGTGGATAGACACTCAAAGTTTCGTGATTTTTCTAGTGATATTCATACACATCCGAACACTTTCCACTACTACCTAGAACACATCCAGGCAAAGCAGAGTGAGTGTTGAACAGAAAATATGAACTCATCTAGACTTAATATTTGGTACAGTGTTCATCTATCACCATCATACATAATATCATTATAATAATAATAATATTTATTATTTTATTTATTATTTATTTATTTATTTATTTATTATTTATTTATCATTATTACTGTCCAACTAATAAACCTGTATTCACATTCAACATCAAAGTAAACACAGTTCTCAAGAATTCAGCTATTCTGAATTTTAGTTGTACAAAATCAGTTCGGTTGATTTATGTAAAATCCTCATGATCACATTGTAAGGTCGCTATCATTCTTATTTCGTGCATCACTAACAAAAGTATTTACTGTGAACTATAAATCTCTAGGTCAGTAATCGAGAATGTTGATAAAGCTCGGAGATTTTGTACAAATTTGTTGGATTTACTATGAAACAGTGTGTAGAGAATGATTCAATTCATAGATGATGTTCGTTGCAGAGCAATATTGGTTGAATGTTTTTGATAGTTGGATAGAACAATTGTTCAATCCATTGACAGTTTTCATTCTTATCTATCAGTACACTACATGTTTAAAAAATGGTTCTGTTTTTCAGAACCGATTGAAACCCGTCAATTGATCAGTGTTACATTATCAACTGACTAACTACTGAGAGAGAAAATGATATAAGGTTTTCCAAAGCACTCATTACCCAACTTTGTAGCAAAGTTGAGAAATGTGAGTTGAAACTTAATAGACAAAAAAGCTGGAATAATATAAATGATCAGTGTTATTTATTTCACTTCATGGTGTACACCAAAGTAATTATTATTATTATTATTATTATTATTAACACATTAAACTGATTAAACTTAACAAAAAATTAGTTAAATTGAAAACTGAACGTATCATCTCTGTGTTAATATTTCTATCATAATTACAAACAAACAGTAGACAAAGAAAAGGTTGAAAATATATCATCAAAAGAAATGAAATATTAAATTTAACGTGGAAAATATTCAATGCATAGGCGATTTAATTGAAAATATGAATCAAAGAGATCACGATAATAAGTGGACAGTAAACGGCAACACTTAAAAAGTCTAACTATCCATATTTTATGAAAAAAGTTTGAAAATTCATAATCACGAAAGACACTACATTGTCTATCAAAATTATCACCAGAATAGAAAGATTCTAAATTCTCATCATCGTATTCATTTAAAATATCGTCACTGATTTTCGACTTGTCGATAATATCATTCACTGACAAGAAAGCATCGGAAATAGAAACATTATCAACAGACATATCAAAAAACTCAGCAACTGAAGAGTCAAAAGAAGAAAAATTAAAAGATTTAATGTCAAATGATATATAATCAGAATCTTCAATACAACAAACATCAGATGAAACAAACAAACGAGATCTACTGTCAAACATTGAACGATTAGGAGAAGAAACTGACCATTCAAAAAGTTCCGCTGAATTAGGAGTTGAAAAATCAGTGGACGATGTGGATTGTGTGGTGGACACATTGT